ACCATTCTCTGTCTCTTTCTCTCTTTTTAACACAGTGTATGCGGGAACACATTGTATGCGTGAAACGTATTTATACATTCTACCAGTGTAGTAGAGCGCGAGACACATATTAATACGTTTTTTTATAGACTAGTGGTAGAATGCGGGTAACGTATAAATACATAAACTAAAGTTATCGTAATTTTGCCATTTGCGCAAAAAATTAGCAAAAATGGCCCGCGCCACCTGTTAGCGCGCGATAAAAACTACCTGCAGACAATGTGTTAATGGCATACTTTCACAGTTGTTTGTATTTTATCTAGAATAAGTTTCTTGTCAGGTTAGATCAGCTGTAATGAGTAGAGAAATAAGCCAAACATTCAGATATGCTGGGTGAAACTTCTCAGGAAATGTAGCTGTGTGCAGATATCTGCATTGACTTGGTTCCTAGGAAACTCAAGGTTTCCTCTGTGTGGTTGTTGCCCAATTCTCTGCATATATTTGGTGCATACTATCTCTTTCTCTGCTTTTCCCTCTTTTATGAACCCTTATCTACACTAATAAAAGGGAAATATGCAAATTGACCATACCTTCACGAGGTCCACCAGCCAATCAGGAGTGAGTATGCAAATTGACCCAACAAAAAAATGGCAGGTTAATTTGCATATGCGGGCACCAAGTGGCCAGGGATGGGGCAGGATGCAGGCGTTCCGCACCGCCCCAGCCGCTCCGGGCCTCTGGGCGGCATGGGAAGGTGGAAAGGTGGCTCCAGGCCAGAACAAAGGCAGAAAGATGGCTCTGGGCCGGAGCAAAGGTGGTGCCAGCAGCCAGGGGAAGGAAGGTCTTTTCTTGCACAAATCTTTGTGCATCGGGCCTCTAGTATGTATATAAAATGAACCCTTGGATTGACATTTCCCTAGGAATGCATGTATGCTGAAAATTGGGATTGGTGGCTTGTTTTATGAGCTTTTTGTTGTCTGGACTTTGTTTTGATAATGTGGAATGGGGCATGACAACAGTGTCCAGCCAGTTTTTTACCAAAGTGCCCGTACAGGTTGGATCTATAGAGAGAGAAACAGTCATTGCTGGAAGTCAGTGGTTGGTCTAGTTATACGTCTTCCCGGGCAGAATAAGGAAGATCTGACTCTTTACTTTGTGATGCAAGGTAAATTTATACTTTTAACTCATGTTTTAAGTCATATGACAACACTTACAAGAAACCTAGTAATGCTGAATCCAGTGTTCTCTTCTTTTTCTTCTAGGAATTCCTCCCCCTAGAGGAGTGTTACTGTATGGCCCTCCAGGTACTGGAAAGACAATGATTGCCAGGGCTATTGCTAATGAAGTTGGAGCCTATGTCTCTGTAATAAATGGTCCTGAAATTATAAGCAAGTAGGTGCATAATTTATTTTTTTAAATTGTTTTATTGCTTAAAGTATTACAAAGAGTATTACATATTTTTATTATTTATTACAAAGGATATTACATATGTGTCCATTTTTCCCCCCCCAAGACAGTCCCCTGGCCTCCCCTACTCCCCAGTGTCTTATGTCCATTGTTTATGCTTGTATGCATGCATACAAGTCCTTTGGTTGATCTCTTATCTCCCCCCTCCCACCTCCCAACCCTCCCCGGCCTTCCTGCTGTAGTTTGACAGTCTGTTCAAGGCTACTCTGCATCTGTATCTATTTTTGTTCATAAGTTTATAATGGTCTTTATTATCCATAAATGAGTGAGATCATGTGGTATTTTTCCTTCATTGACTGGCTTATTTCACTTAGCATAATGCTCTCCAGTTCCATCCATGCCGTGGCAAATGGTAAGAATTCCTTCTTTTTTACAGCAGCATAGTATTCCATCGTACAGTTTTCTTATT